TGGAATAACATCATAAGAGATGAGCATGACAGACACCTGTGACAAGTTCACCTTCAGTAATGAAGAGGACGAAGAGAGAGAGAGAGTCCCCAAAACAATCCACTCCCAATCAGCATTTAAAAAGTTAAGAAGAAAAAAAAAAAAAATATAAAAATGAAAAAACATAAAGTACCTAAAAGCAGGAATAGAACTTTTTATTTTGAAGGATTTGGCTTTTTATTTATTTTTTATTAAATATTATATTCCAAAATTTTTGCGTAAGAGAGTAATACATCTTAATTTGCGCGTACAGCGCGGTTTCAAAGATGTTTTCTCCCACGAACAATCAGGTTATGGAATGAGCTCCTTACCGAGGTTTTCCCAAGAGATTACAGCACGGGGTTCTTCAAAAGGGGGGTAAAGAGGTTTCTTCGGGGTCGGCAACGCGCGCGTAATAACCTCTGGTATTGCAGACGTTCATAGGCTACGATAACCACTTACCATCAGGTGGGCCGTATGCTTGTTTGCCACCACAGTGGTATAAAAAAAACTCTCACGTTAATAATAATATTAAGATATATAGATAAGAAACCTTTAACAACACATTCATTTGCAAATCGAGTGGGCAGACATAACAATAATATTGACTGGCACGTCTAAACAACGGCGGTTTCACTTGAAATATCTTTTTTATAAACATAGGCTCATTCGGGTCACGGGGTCAGTGTGTGTCAACGTGCGCACAGACGGACAGGCTTTCCCGGTCTACGTATATGTTTCTCTTACTATTGTTCCTTCGAATTTTATTTTGTATATTGACGGTAAACGGATATTTTCGAAATTGGAAAAATGATATTGACTTTTTTAATAATTAACAAATCGCGACATATTATTTTATAAAAAAAAATTATTTCCCCTAAATTTGTTGTTCTCATATTTTTTTTTTACTTTTGGAAATTATTTATTGATTAAGAAAGGAGCCTATATTAAAAATGTCTTATTTATTTCCCTATTCCAATCCTATCAGCCTTTAACTATCCACTGCTGTAAATACTGTCAAAACCCCCCAATAGGGGAGCCAATGGGAAGTTTTGCCAATAGTTGCCACGCTTGGCAGGCGGATTGGCAACAGCAGTTAGGCTTTAGAGATGTTTGAGGGACGCTGCTGCTCATCCTTCGCCCTCCTTAGTCGGCTCTTACGAAAAGGAAGGGGTGGCCTATTCTATGCCGGGACCTTACTCCTCCAAAAATTTAGACGAGGCTTTGCTAGACCAGCCAGAACAATTGGCTTAGTAGACACTATAGTATTTAATACATATAGATTTAGATTATATAAATGTGTGACTACCAGTGTCACCATACAAATGCTTCGCCATTATTTTAAAATTGTGTCCCACAAAAAAAAATCAACTTCAATTGTAATTAAACCAGTTATTTTGATCTAAAAACTAAACAATTTTGATAAAAATTTTATGGAATCAATCTGTAATTATATCCTTTCGGATAAAAAAAGAATTATCCAAATCGGTTTACAATTAACCGAGTTATGAGGTAATAAACGTAAAGAAAAAATACAACCGATTTGAGAATCCACTTGTTTTTGAAATATCTTGAAAACAAGTCATTTTTTTTATTTATATATATCTACATGAATAGGTTACTTACAGCATGGTTAAAAAATAAAAAAAACCCTCCTGCCAAGCGTGGCAACTACTGGCAACCCCCCCCCCCCACCCCTTATGGGGGAAACTATGTTTATATATTTTAGTTACACATTACATCTACATGCGATAACAATTGCCTTGTACGTTTATTAGCGGGCATTATTTGTCTTCTCCAAGCCACGACTGTCCGGAATTCGTCTCGGCCACTCTCGCAACCGTCCGCGCGTTGCGGCTACCGTAAAATATTCACATTATGCTATATTAACGCAATATTTACGTTACAACACGAGCCCACATGTGATTATTGGTTTTCAAGTGTCATAATGCAATATTTTTTTTTGTGGTAGCTTTTCGGCTTTGGATTCATCCTTTTAGGCCATCTTTAGTGGGAGGACAAGGATTGTTAGTAATGAGATTCAGTAGGTTTATTACTAGCGGGTATATAGCTTGTAGTAGTTAGCAATGGAGTTTGACAGCCCCATTGCTAGCAATATGCCCTATTAGATCGTCCTCCACGCGGTTCCCCCTGGAAACGATCGTGATTAATTTTTGATGAATTCATCACGATGGGCGTAATCATAATTTTTATTTCAAACAGTGAATTACAAAATTGATTAACAACGGTCCCCATATGGGTCGAGCCTGTATCTGGGGAACCTATTATTATAATAGGTTCCCCAGATTGTAACCCCATATTCCACAGATTATAATAGTCAGTTATGACCTGCTTCATCTTCACCTATCGTCCAAAGGTTGTCTGGAAGAAATCGCTTTTAGCTATAAGGTCACCCATTTGTTTTCTCACTGTGATTATTTCTTGTAATTTGTTTATATCTATAATGAGTTTGCTATTGTAATCTTTTAGAGGAAACAATAAAGAGTATCTATCTATCTATCATCCCTTACTGGTGCCCCACCAGTGTATCCCGATAGCGCGGTATAAATTAATAATTTTAATAATTTATAATTTTCACCCATTAAAAAAAAAATATAAATAAAAAAATGCCCATCTTTAATTTCCCTTACTTTTATTCCAGAGAATATTTTTCTTGAGAAATGTATATAAATTAAATTTATTTTGATGTAATTATGCTGTTTTTATAGTTTGGAGGATAGTTTTGTAGATAATCAGATAAGTATCGATGTTTTAAAGGATAGATGGCAGGAGGCGGAAGCAGTTGTGTTTGCATGGCTGTGTTTCGGTTTGAAGGGTGGGATATGGCGTGAATTTACTAGGTACGGAGGAATAACACCTGAGTCCTCAGGAATGGCAATGCATGGGGGGTATCATCGGCGAAACAGTATACTCTGTTATGTCCATGGTACTGCTCATGTCTATAGGCGACGGTTACCACTTTTCCTTCAGGTGGGCCGTCAGCTTGTTTGCCATTCTAAGTTGTATAAAAAAAAATAATAAAAAAAATCTTTTTATTTTGAAAAATTCATTTTTTAGTTTTATATAATTTTTATAAAGGCCCAATAAAATATAGAAGCCACGAGTAAGTTTTTGAAACTTACTTTACAACCAACTCCTCTCCATCCAAAGGTTGCCTGGAAGAGATCGCTCTTAGCGATAAGGTCGCCCATTGTTTTCTCATTGTGATTATTTCTTGTAATTATTTATATTTATAATAAGTTTACTATTGTAATCTTTTGGAGGAAACAATAAAGAGTATCTATCTATCTATCTATATTTGTTATTTGTCACGTTAACTTGTTTATATGAAGAAATGAGAAGCAGTCACCTGTCAAAATTAACAAAAAAAAAAAATAATAACAAGCCATGAAGATGTATGTAACATATCAAGTGTGGGTCAAATATTTGTGTTTCGTTTGTGCAATGGTTTGTAACAAGACGAGAGCAATTTGTTATCCCTTTCACACACTCGAATCGAGTGCTCATGTCGATTTCAAAAAGTGCTCAAGTGCGAGAGCTCTTTTGAATTCCGAATTCCGTACAATTGATTAAGTTGTGTATTTTCTTTTTACATTTTTTTTATACCTCAAAACTGGCAAACAAGCGTACAGCCTGTCTAGTGGTAAACGGTCACGGTAGCCTATGGACACCTGCAACGCTATGGGTGTTACGTCAACGTTGCCGACCTTGAAGAAACCTTGTAAATAGTAACCTTTTCCATGACAATGACTATGCGTTGAAAACAAGTTAATTATTTTATTCATATACACATGAACAGGGTTTATTTTATGGGTGAAAATGGTATGGTAACCCCGCCTGCGCGGGGTAACGGGATACGCTGGCGGAGCACCAGTGAAGGGTGATCGATGAGAATGAAAACAGGCCAATTAACCCATCATGATGAATTCATCAGGAATTAACCATGATAGTTTCCATGGAGAACCGCGAGGAGGTCGACCTAGTTAGGTATATTGCTAGCAATAGGATTCTCAGTCTCCATTACTAACAATCCCTTTCCCCCCAGTGGGACTACTAAAAATGTATAAAAAATCTATTTGTGCATTAGTAATGTATTTATCATATTGCAGTACCCTAAAATACACCCACAAACGTGCAATACCGTGGGAATCGATCGCTTACATCTTTTTTTTTATATATATAATATAAATACGTAATATTTGAATAAATATTATGATATACATATTGCAGATTTTGTCAATACTATTTTGTTTTATAAAAAAAAAGAAAGAAAATAAATAAACATACCTGTTTTTTTTTTAAGGATGAAAATGGTATCGGAACCCCGCCTGCGCTAACGGGATACGCTGGCGGAGCACCAGTGAAGGGTGATAGATGAGAATGAAAACAGGCCAGTTAGCCCATCATGATGAATTTATCAGGAATTAACAATGATAGTTTCCAGGGGGAACCGCGAGGAGATCGACCTGGTTGGGTATATTGCTAGCAATAGGATTCTCAGCCTCCATTACTAACAATCCGTTTCCCCCCAAACGTACCTGTTCTAACTTCTTTACAGATATAGTGAAGATATCGCGTAACATACAGATAAAAAACAACCCATTTTTGGAAGTGACCCAATTATAGACATTAGTTTTTTATTAATAATTGATTAATTTATTTCAAGCTTAAATTTAATATGGAATTTACTGGGTACAGAGGAATAACACCTGAGTCCTCAGGAATGGCAACGCATGGGGGTATCATGGGCGAAACAGTATACTCTGTTATGTCCATGGTACTGCTCATGTCTACAGGCGACGGTTACCACTTTCCATCAGGTGGGCCGTCAGCAATTATAATAAATTAATATAATAATAATTTTTATTTGGGACTTTTTTGGTCCATTGAATATTTATTAGTAACAATATTAAAACTAATGTTAGTAAATATATATATATATGAAACCAAGTATTACATACCGACAGACACAGCAATCGACATCTGTAACAATAAGCAAAATCTTAATTAAAAATTTTCCCCATTCAAATTCATTAAGCAAGTTAATTATATCTATTAGTGATATACATATTTTTTTTTAATTAAATATGCTTATAGATATTTACACACAAACAAACATATTTTACTAATTCATAATGAGTGTATATATATTTTTTTTTATTGGATGAGAACGGAATGGTAACCCCGCCTGCGCTAACGGGATACGCTGGCGGGGCACCAGTGAAGGGTGATCGATGAGGATGAAAAGAGGCCAGTTAGCCCATCATGATGAATTCATCGGGAATTAATCATGATAGTTTCCAGGGGACCGCGAACAGGTCCACCTGGTTGGGTATATTGCTAGCAATGGGATTCTTAGTCTCCATTACTAACAATCCCTTTTCCCCCCAATGAGTGTATATTATATTACATTACGTTTATATATATATATATATATATATATATATATATATATATATATATATATATATATATATATATATATATATATATATATATATATTATTACGTTCTTCTCAAGAGTAATTTATAAGAGGAATGGGCAGCAGCGTCCCCTTTAAAACATCACCAAAGCCTAACTGCGTTTGCCTACCCGCATGCCAAGCGTGGCAACTAATGGCAAAACACCCCTTATAGGAGAGGCCTATGTTCAACAGTGGACAGTCAACGACATATGATGATATGATGACGATGACGATATTTGGTGATAGAATTTTCTTACTGTCTATTCATCACTACTTGAACAAGTAGAAAATAAAAGTCGCGGGAACAATTTTGAACTTTTTTTTTTATACAACTTACAAACAGGCTAACGGCCCAATTGATGGAAAGTGGTAACCGTCGCCTATAAACATGAACAGTACCATGGACATAACAGAGTATACTGTTTCGCCCATGATACCCCCCATGCGTTGCCATTCCTGAGGACTCAGGTGTTATTCCTCTGTACCCAGTGAATTCACGCCATATCCCACCCTTCAAACCGAAACACAGCCATGCAAACACAACTGCTTCACGGTTGAAACACGAACAGGACAGAGGTACCCAAGCAATCGACTTTTGTACAAAGTCTCCCTCTGATCAAAAAAGTTACTAGATTAATGTCGGTAACGTTTTGATAATATCTCAATACCGATTTCACTGATCCATGTCGTCATACATAAACATATATTTGTTTATTTAAAGGAACACCATCAGCATATTGCATTATAACATATATAACAAACATTAAATATAATACAATATTAATGCACACGCCTATTATAGGTATTCACAGCATTTGCTTTAACATAATTATACAGTGCGAGAAAATGAAGTAACAATTGTAATGAATTAAATAACACTAGACTACATATATATTTTAAAAGTTGCATTATTAGTTATACATACATATACATAAACATATACAATTAAATATATATGTAGCTGTCGATCAAAAACGTGTTACTTCCATTTCATCGCACTGTAAATCTCATGTTAAAGTGACAAGAGCTCGCTTTCGAATACCTATAATACGGCGTGTGCATTAGAAATAGTCGCGGTGGATGTTTTTTTGGCGGTCCGTGTATAGCTACCATTATAAAGGATACGTATATGGGGTGGTTATGAAATTGGAAAGTGACGTCTGTGGTATTTCAAGGTTGTTTCGTAATGAAAAAGGTCAAGTCCAGAAGGAGACTTTGTAGAAAAGTCGATTGCTTGGGTACCTCTGTCCTGTTCGTGTTTCAACCGTGAAGCAGTTGTGTTTGCATGATTGTGTTTCGGTTTGAAGGGTGGGATATGGCGTGAATTCACTGGGTACAGAGGAATAACACCTGAGTCCTCAGGAATGGCGACGCATGGGGGGTATCATGGGCGAAACAGTATACTCTGTTATGTCCATGGCACTGCTCATGTCTATAGGCGACGGTTACCACGTTCCATCAGGTGGACCGTCAGCTTGTTTGTCATTCTAAGTTGTATAAAAAAAAGGAATCTCCTTTACAGAAGTATCATACATGATCGTCTTATAGAACAAAATGCAGTATCAGTCGGTTTAAAAGTGGGTTCTGTTATTCCATCATAACAAACGGAACCAGGAAGACATAAGTCGTGACTCGTGACTGTTTTACAAACCATAGAAAATCACCATTACATAATAGATTACGTGTAACCAACTTGTTTTGACCTGTAATTGTTAACATGTACGTTTGGATGCAAAGGACAATGGGAGATCTTTGTTCGCTGGACAAATGTAAGTTGAGCTGCCAGTTGTACTGACGATGTTTGTAATTAAATTGACATTAGAGCTCTAGTTTAAATGGACAATTATACCGTCAAGTTATAATGCAATTATGTGGGGGGGGGGAATGGGATTGTTAATGATGGAGACTGAGAATCCCATTGCTAGGAATATACCCTACCAGGTCGACCTCCACGCAGTTCCCCCAGGAAACCATCATGGTTAATTCTTGACGAATTCATCATGCTGCGCCAACTGACCTGCATTCATTCTCACCTATCATCTTACACTGGTGCCTTGTCGGTGTATACCGATAGCGCGGGCGGGGTTACCATTCCATGTTTACCAATTAAGAAAATGCAATTATGTGTGAGGGGATATATAGGATTGTTAGTAATGCGAACTACCAGTCGCATTGCTACCAATATACCCTATCAGGTCGACCTCCACGTGGTTCCCCCTGGAAACATGCGATGCCATTTCTGAAGACTCAGGTGTTATTCCTCTGTACCCGATAAATTCACGCCATATCCCACCCTTCAAACCGAAACACAGCCATACAAACAACTGCCTTACGGTTGAAATATGTACGAATTAGACAGAAGTACTCAAGCAATCGACTTTTGTACAAAGTCTCCCTCTGGTGAAAATGAATGAATATTTCAATTTGTTAATAATTTCACTTACATAAAGTTTCTGTAGTAATTTCAACAAAACTACAACACACAACTGCCGTGTGATCCCAGAATAGAAGGGGGCCACCCCTTCCTTTCCCGTGGACGTCGTAAGAGGCGACTAAGGGAGCTTAATAGTCGAGGGATGGGCAGAAGCGTCCCTCCAAAAACATCACTAAAGTCATACTGCTGTTGCCAGTCTGTCTGCCAAGCGTGGCAACTACTGGCAAAACCCCCCCAAGGGGAAGGCTTATGTTCAGCAGTGGACAGTTAAAGGCTGATATAATTATGATTATAGTAAACTACCTACTTACATCTAGCAATGTTTATTTCTTATACTAGGCCAGTCCACTGGGCATAACATTGGTATTGAAAAGGAAAGTAAACGTTTGATTTCTTATGAGTCAGTGAATTTAAAATAACATTACGTGCCGTCATTTATCGATAAAGACTGATTCATGTAACCAAAGGAATAACAATTAGTCAACCATAGAGATTTTTTTTATGGAAAATAATGAAATGGTAACACTACGCGTAATCGGTATACGCTGGCCCCAGTGGCAGATGACAGGAGAGGATAAAAGCAGCGGGTCTACCATGAAATGAAATTCCGAATTTTCGGACTCAATCTCGTGTTTTTGTTTATACCAAAATCGGATTAATAAATGGAGTTTAACATTTCGTTCGTCATACATACATCCTATCATAAAAGTCCAAAGGAACGATATTTTAACATTTTTAATATTTCCAAACGGCATGTATTATGTAATTTTAACATCAAATTTGTGTTTTGTTTGGCTCCGAAATTTCGGAAAACATTTCATGGTAGGCCCACAGGCTGGCAACTATAAAATGAAATTTCGAATTTTCGGACTCAATATCGCGTTTTCTTTCATAATGAAATCGATCCAGTAAACGTTTTTATTTTTTATACAACTTAGAATGGCAAACAAGCTGACGGCCCATCTGATCGAAAGTGGTGTTGCCTATAGACTATACCATGGACATAACAGAATACTGTTTCGCCCATGATACCTTTGTGTTGCCATTCCTGAGGACTCATACCCAATAAATTCACGCCATTTTTCAAACCGAAACACAGCCATGCAAATGCTTCACGGTTGAAATACGAATGGGACAGAGGTACCCAAGCAATCGACTTTTGTACAAAGTCTCCCTCTGGTAAAATGTATCTTAATGTTTTGTTTGTCATAAATCCTACCATAAAAGTCTCAACAAATGATATTTTAACATTTCTATTATTTTTAAACGGTGTGTATTTTGTAATTTTAAAACGAAATTTATGTTTCAGTCGGTATCGAAATTTCGGAAAACATTTCATGGTAGGCCCTCTGGACTCCTTTACTGAGTAATAGCATTTATCCTGTAATAGCTTAAAAATAGCTTTTGAACAGCTTACCTGTTTGAAAATATTAACTATTGCTGGGTTCGATATCCGAAATGATTGTAATAATTTTTTTATCTATTAAGTACATTTTATTGCCCTACAAATGTACAATAGAAAAAAAAAAACAAAAACAAAATTCCACAATAATCACACACTAACAGAATTTGCCACTTCGATACAATTTAATAAAAAAAAAAAGAATTTAAAACATACACCCACCGCATTTGTCACTTTGGATATGAATTACTAAAAAATAATAAAAAAAAAAAAAAACTTGAAACAAAACAATCACAATAAAATAAAACAACACAGCTCGAGTGACCCGGCAACACTGTGAATTAATGAGACCAAAAGCATTATCAGGTATCACGCTATCAACCTGGGAAGGTCGTTCGTTATCATGAATCTATTACAGTACATTAGCGTCACAAAAAAACGTACTAAAATCTCTCCATTACGTTGCAGAATTGTACACATGTGAAGTGCAACCGACTATATGTAAACAAATCTATACATCTGACTATGTGTAAACAAATCTATACATGCCGGCATCTGAATATATGTCCATGCTATCTCATGTCTATAGGCGACGGTTACCACTTTCCATCAGGTGGACCGTCAGCTTGTTTGCCATTCCAAGTTGTATAAAAAAAATAATGTAAACAAATCTATACATAATTATTTCATTATCTGTATCGCTGCTGGATATATAATCCTTTGTATCTAATCTAGTGAATTTAACTTTATTACAATATATGTTATGGTCGAATTTCGATCAGTGGACGACAACTAGTTTATAATTATTTTACCTATATCATCATCGTCATCGTTTCAGCCATTATTCGTCCAATTCTGTCTCCCCATAGACTGCCATAAAGAACGGTCCTGAGCCACCTGCATCCACTGATTCCCTGCAATGCATTTCAAGTTGTCACTCCATATAGTGAGAGTTCGTCCTACACTGCCTTTACTCATATGGGGTCGCCACTCAAGAACCTTTCTTCCCCATCGGTTCGTATATATATATATATGTGTGTGTGTGTGTGTGTGTGTGTGTGTGTGTGTGTGTGTGTGTGTGTGTATATAGATATTTACATATGTATATCTTCTACCCAAAGGTTGTCTGGAAGAGGTCGCTTCAATCAATCAATCATCTTTATTCATATACATCTGTTACAGATTCTTATGATACGTCACTTTATAATTATAATAATTACTATATAAAATAATATTAATTTAAAAAAAAATACAATAATTACATTTATAATACAATTCACATTCATACAGTATTCAAATCCATACAGTTTTGTCATTTAGATAGTTATTAATTTTATAATATGCTTTTGTATAGAGAGTCCTTTTTATATATACCTTAAATTTTCTTTCATATAGCTTAACGATAAGACCACCTTTTGTATCATTTCTCATTACAATTAACTGTATTTAGTATTTTGTAAATAATGGTGAAATAAAGTGTAAAATAAATAAATAAATAATTACCAAATTGAAGGTGACAATCAGTACAAGCATCATCATCGTCATCGCATTCTTCTTAGCCATTATCTGTCCATTGCTGGGCATAGACCTCCCACAAGTACAAATAAAATAATCACTACTTCCTATGCCACTGTGTTAGGTTGACTGAAAGAGATCTCTTTAAACTATTCCATTAAATACAATATATGTATTTGTATATGTGTTAATATGTATATGTATATATGTGTGTAGGTGTATATATATAAATATAATAATGAGTAAGGATAATATTTATATTATTATATGTATCACATCTCCATACTTAGAACTAACAGAATTTTTCATCGTGCCTCCCATCAAATTGTTTATAATTACTCCTCTCCATCCAAAGGTTGCCTGGAAGAGATCGCTCTTAGCGATAAGGTCGCCCATTGTTTTCTCACTGTGATTATTTCTTGTAATTATTTATATTTATAATAAGTTTACTATTGTAATCTTTTGGAGGAAACAATAAAGAGTATCTATCTATCTATCTATACAATTATAATAATTAAACATTTAACAAATTGTACAAATAGCCGTTTGAATAAGCACTTATGCGTAAAATGGAACCACTTATTATTCGACCAAATAGAATATGACCCAAATGTATATAAATAACGTGGCCAAATCATGCGCATCCTAATCCGAGCGGGTTCAATGGTCCGCGGTGCAGGTGTCCGCGAGTTACTAAACCAGAATAAAATATGGACTAGCAAATTAAAGGCAGCTAAACTAATATAGAATATCTTGTCCCATATTCTTGACTAAAATATTAGTCTTTCGTAGTTTCCAGAGGGAGACTTTGTACAAAAGTCGATTACTTGAGTACCTCTGTTCCATTCGTGTTTCTACCTTGAAGCAGTTGTGTTTGCATGTCTGTGTTTCGGTTTGAAGGGTGGGATATGGCGTGAATGTATAGGGTACAGAGGAATATCATCTGAGTCCTCAGGAATGGCAACGCATGGGGGGTATCATGGGCGAAACAGTATACTCTGTTATGTCCACGGTACTGCTCATGTCTATAGGCGATGGTTACCACTTTCCATCAGGTGGGCCGTCAGCTTGTTTGCCATTCTAAGTTGTATAAAAAAAATATAAACCTTCCTCTTGAATCACTCTGTCTATTGAAAAAACCGTTTCAAAATCCGTTGCGTAGTTTTAAAGAAGACGAAGTTTGTATATGGAAGATATTTAAGGAAAATTAATATGAGAGTTCTTAGGATGATCAATAGATCCTAAAACTATTTCTATCAAACATTTAAAAGTTGACTGGAAGAAATCCCTTTTAGTTATTTATAAATTACTCACCACACTTACAATATCCCAAAACGTGTAGTGAGCCATGGGTTTATTTTACAAACTTACAAATTTTGAACAACATTTTAAAAATATATCTATTTTGTCATTAAATATATCAATATCTGGCTGCTGAGCAGTCAGAGCTCATGATTTATGAGACAATTCCGCCATTGTACGCTTTCAAACTTAAGAACTGTGTAATTTATTTAATTTAAGACTTTACATACATTAAATTACATACAATAAAGTGTTACAAAGAAACAAACAAACGATTTTTTTTAGATTTTTTTTTATCTATATAATATAGATGTTTGTTCCAGCATTACTTAATAATTACTGCATCATGGTTGACCTTCAGAAACAGAACTTAAAATTTGGTGTATGTTTTATCTTGGTGTCCCATAGTGGTAAGAGTGATTCAAGAGGAAGGTTTATATGTATAATACATGCATAATATTGCAGAGAAACACTGATAAATTTAGAGGTTTCTAATGTAATGTCGTAATGTAATGGAGGCCCGGTGGCGTCGTTAGTTGCTACAAAAAAATAATTAAAATAAGGTTAGGACCTACAGTAAAAATTAAATGTAACCTCCGAACATTCGTAGCTCGGTGTTCCACTTAAAGCAATATTGGATTATGACTTACAATACAATTCGTCATACACTCTGACTGGTATAACTCATACATATTAACTGCGCTCATATTAGGCTACAGTTTAAATAAAACAACAGAGTTACAATAGATCTTTGGTTCATAAAAGCCTATTATTATTCATAAAGCCACAGATAATATAATACTAATAGAGTTAACTTCCCAGAGGGAGATTCTGTACCATTCGTGTTTCAACCGTGAAAAAGTTGTGTTTGCATGACTGTGTTTCGGTTTGAAGGATCGGATATGGCGTGAATTTACTGGGTACAGGGGAATAACACTTGAGTCCTCAGGAATGGCAACGCATGGGGGGTATCATGGGCGAAACAGTATACTCTGTTATGTCCATGGTACTGCTCATGTCTATAGGCGACGGTTAACATTTTCCATCAGGTGGGCCGTCAGCTTGATTGCCATTCTAAGTTGTATAAAAAAAAATAACTACAGTCTGAATTAATAGGTTTAGTGAAAAGGTAAACGAGTTTAATGAAGTTATCACAGGAATATTAAATGTTTTTTTTTTACAACTTAAAATGGCAAACAAGCTGACGATCCACTTGATAGAAAGTGGTAACCGTCGCTTATAGACATGAGCAGTACCGTGGACGTAACAGAGTATACTGTTTCGCCCATAATACTGCCCATGCGTTGCCATTCCTGAGGACTCAGGTGTTATTCCTCTGTACCCGGTAAATTCACGCCATATTCCACCCTTCAAATCGAAACAGCAATGCACCCTTCAAACGGAAACACAGCCATGCAAACACAACTGCTTCAAAAAAGAAGGAGGGTATAACCTACTCCTTTTTTGAAGTTGGTTACTTGTTACTTTACTTGTTATTTTCAGTTACTTGTTCCACTGTATATTTTTTGTCGATTTCTTCGTCAATTGCGAGCCGATTTCAAGAATTCTTTTTTTAAAATCGCTTTAAAAACTCGAACACGATGGCAGTCGCCACTCATCTAGCTAGCTTATTATATCGTAGGTAACACGCATTTCTTAGTGAAACACGTCGCAAATTAAATGTTATTCAAATGTACCGTTTTATATGCTCGTGTCGCGTGGGAGAGACCATTTTTGAAATAATTTACGACCCAAATCCACCATTATGTTGTTTATATTGTTAAAATGTTCTAATCTAAAGATCTTTACGTCAATTTTGTAGATTTATAAAATGTTATGGCATCTCAATATATGGGTCCAGTTTGTTTGGAAAGTTGCAATACTAACATCTTAGTTTGCACGGGTGAATTTTATTGGGTACAGAGGAATAACACCTGAATCCTCAGGAATGGCAACGCATGGGGGGTGTCATGGGCGAAACAGTATACTCTGTCATGTCCATGGTACTGCTCATGTCTATTGGCAACGGTTACCAATTTCCATCAGGTGGGCCGTCAGCTTGTTTGCCATTTAAAGTTGTATAAGGTTCAGAAGCGGTGTAGAGCCCGCCATAGAATAGGCCACCCCTTCCTTTCCCATGGGTGTCGTAAGAGGCGAGTAAGGGAACATGATGGTCGAGGGACAAGCAGCGTCCCTCTTAGAACATCACCAAAGCCTAACTACAGTTGCTAAATCCGCCTGCCAAGCATGGCAACTGTTGACAAGGCCCATTTTTTTGGATCATATCAAAATAAAAATATGCCAGCTTTTAATTTACATCAAGAGGAACGTAACTGTAAAAACCGCATTCGGTTTGGTGCAAAAATTTTTACGATATACAGACAGACAGATATAAAATTTCTAAAAATTATTGTACTCCCTATTGCTCTTATCAAATCCCTTATGACAGTTATTGACTGATTGACAATTGACTTCATTATGTAAATTGGCACAAACGAGAATCGAACCTTAATCTTCGATCTTTTATACACTTACAATAAATTTATTGCAAACACTGTCTACCCCGCGAAGAATTTAGCGTGAAGATATACTCCGAACTAAATTAAATCTGAGCAAGTATAAGCATA